TATATATATTTTCTTTGCTTACCAAACTGATACTCTGTTTCTCATTACACTCATCATTGTATCTAAATACACTTTTAAGCAATCTAGATTTCGTTTAAAATCTATTAAATTTGGATTAACTAATACTATCAACATAGTTAGCGGGATTATTTTTTCACACGTTCCTTTGTATTAAAATCAATTGTGTTGTGGTTCGATGCAAGAGCTTTTTGTTTGTTTTGGTGGGAGAGGCAAAGTCCAATTTCCTAACGTGCCAGTACAGTTCTGGTTGCTGAAGACAAAGGGTGAGAAGGAGGCTGGTGGAAAAGACGGCAGGGGTAAGTGAGGTAAGAGGTGGGGGGGAGGAAAGAATTGATTTCATAAAAAATGAGTAAAGAAACTTTAAAAAATTGATATAGGTTTCACATTCAGTCTAACAACACTGCTTCCTGCTCCTTTTTGATGGAGGCTAACACTGCATTGTCAGTCTCTGTGGCTTCCGCGTCCCCACCACCTAGCAGAATGGAGCGATCTTCTTCTAGTGTAAAGACAGAGTTTTGATTTTGGCACGAATGTTTGACTACTTCGTTGGGCGTTGAAAATGTTTTGTCACACAAGTTACATTTGTAGGGCTTGTTGGTCTGTACGAGCATGTTGTCCATTTGACTGCCTTCCTCAAAAGTACAGAGTTCCAGAGTCTGTTTGTCCACCATCGTGTAGGTGTCCATGCTCTGGTTTAGGCACACGTGTCTGGCAGCCTGGTTAGCCCTACAGAAGCTTTTGTCACAAGTGCTGCACTTGAAGGGCTTGCCGGTATGTATGTACATGTGCTCCCTCCAGTGGCTTTTCTGAATGAATTTGCGACCGCAGATGGAACATTCGTATTTCCGTCTTTTTACTTCCCTCTCTTGGTCTGCCTGCTCCAAGTTGTCTATGTCTGCAATATCGGAGGGGGGTGGCGTCTCCGACTGCTGCTGCCCATCGATTATCGGGGAGTCTGAGATCTGCTGCAGCTCGCTATCACTGATCATCCCTGCTTCAGGCACTTCCACGGCATCTTTATCAGCTGTATTGTTACAGAGAGACAAAGAAATGTTACTTTCTCCCTGCTGGCTAGATGTGAAGGGAACTCCCGTGTGGATCTGCAGGTGCTCACGCAAACTACTTCGCAAATTGAACCGGCGACCGCAGAGGTGGCAGGCATAGTATTTTGGGAAGCTTCCGTTCCTTTTCATAATGCTTGGCTTGACATGTGCTATGGTGAGTGAGGCAGGCTGTTCATCCGAAGAAGACGCTTCCATGTTGGCCTCTTCTCCTGCAGGCGAATTATTACCAGCAGCAGATACCAATTCTGGAGATAAAGAAGATGGCAATGGGTCAGAAGTGGACATATTTGTCCGGGTCACTTGTGGCAGAGTTGTAGCCAACTGCGAGAGCTGCGAGCCTTCAGAAACCTGCTCTTGGTTCATCCGTGATGTCTGTGGCCTTGGTTCTCGCCCGAGTTTGTCAGTCGCTGATGTAACCTTAGTGGGATGTCTGATCTGGTGATCTGCAATCTGAATGCCATATAATGAAGATGCTAATGGAAAAACTTGATCTGGGTGAGAAAAAGTTCCCTGACTTGCAAGGCTGGCCTCTTGAATTAGTGGATATGCGTGCAGAAACTTTATTCCCTGCTCTAGTCGAACTGGGTCAATGAGCTGCGGTGCCATCTTCCCAGTGTACATCAGATGCAAGAGATAACTGAAGATATCTGGCTGTATGTCAGTTGCTTTCAAACGGACACATTCACTGAAAGGTGAAACAAAATGATCGATTAGAGATAAGGAAAATCTTTTTTTACCAGATCTAGGTAATTCAAGCATTGATAAAAATCAGAGACATCTACTTAAATTCAAAAGACAGAATCTGCAATAAATATAGAGAAACGTTTTAATGTGAAAGAGCTAATCTTATCGGCCACTTGAAAGATGACATTTTTCTCCTCAGGGAAGTAACTGGCTTAAAAGACAAAGCTGTCCCATTGCAATCTACACCTTTCTAAATTGCTGTTATGCTACAGATTTGTTGTCCTGTATTAATACATTTTGTAAATTGCAAAGATATGTTTCCCTTTTCTTCGGTTGGATTCAAACATGTCTGCAGCTGAACTAAAACCTGCTAGCACCGGACTCGAAATTCACAATCCATTAAACTTTTCTCAGTACTTAGCCCTGAAAACACCTAAAATTCATCTGGCGCTTTGCCTGTTTGGCTTCTCTGTCTTACTAATGTTTACAGCCACAGTTCTGCAAACATGGTATCACCTTGTCTCAATTGCATTATGATCCAGAAACCACGCAGGACAGGGTGTGAATCCCCGGAGGACCTGAGGCAACAGCTGTAGCCTGAGCACACCCAACTCTTGGAGGCCAGGCTCCTCACAAAGCAGAACGGTAGCTGTTCCCTCGAACAGGGAGGAAGAAACAGTGGCACCAGACGTACACCTGGTCAGCCGAACAGTCCCTCGGTCAGAGCGCTCAACAGAGTGAGGCACTTTGGGTGTGATGCCCTCTTCAGCCTAACAGGACTGAAGCCACCACCATCCTCCAGCTGAGGGCATGCCCTGCACATCAACCTTGAGGACACCCTGGACCAAAACACCCACCACTCCTCTGGCTGAAGCCAGATCTCTGTGTGGAAAGAGAGGCAAGGTTCACAGGAGAAAGGAAACCAGAAACATTTTGGTTAGGCCAGTTAGCTAACAGGAGAGGATCTGGGATTCTATTTGTTTTTCAGAGTTATTTGTAGCTCTTGTATTAAACAAACATTAAATAAAAGACAGAAATCCAAAACCGGACATGACTGCACGCTGCAGTCTGAGTGCTCCAACCACAGTAGGCTACCAAGCTGAGGAGGAAATTACAGCCAATTCTTCCATTTCTTGAGGTGTGTCCTTCTTGAGCTCTCTCTCTGACTGCTGCTGAGTTCAGATATTACTCAAAAGTAAACTTTGCAGTGCTGTCATCCAGAGATGACCGTGTGCTCTCGATGGAGCATCAAGACCGATACATCTGCCTGCAGTCCTGCCTCAGAAGCACTTCTGTCCTTGAAGTTTACTTTTGGCTGAGAACTCTGAGCCAAAAAGTTAAGAGTTTCAGTCACTTAACATAAACTTTTTGAAACAGTTCAAATAATTGGGAAAGAGAAAATAACAACAACAAAAAAATCTTTAAAACAGACTTTTGTTATCTTTTCAATGGCCTTCATGTAAGCCTGCCCGCAAAAAAAAAAAAAGGAAGAAACACAAACCCTCTTATTTTCCACCACTATGTGGTATTTTATTATTTATCTGACTTTGGTAAACTGTAAAAAAAAGGAAACATATTAACGTCTTTTATAAGTCCATTTCTCAAAATCTCCTAGCAAATACTTATGGGGTTGTATACAATGTTATGGAAATGACAAGAATAGTGCCAAGACGGAGTAGAGGACAGTGAGTAGGGGAAGGAAAGTGCAAGAGTGAAGACAAGATCCTTTAAATATTAAATTCTAGGAATTCTATGCTTTTTTAAGGATGAATAACTTATGCTAAATTGTAACATTAGTGTTAATGAATCACAGGTCAACTTTAACACGTTTTAAAACGAGATTCTGGTTTGCAGGTAAGACTGGATTCCATATTCCTTATCTCATAGCAAGAAACACTTTCAGGCTTCAAAATGTTGCCAGACCTCCTTAGCTTTGCTAACTGAACAACATTTAAACAGTGAACCTTTTTACAGTTACCTGGTTTGATGAACAAACAACATCTTGAAGTAGTTGGAGAAAGAAGCAAGGACCGACTTGTGTGCCTTGAAGTAGACATCACCGATGGCGACTGTGCAGTCACACAGGAAACCAAACTCTCTCTGAGCATTTAGTTGCTGCAGCAGAATAAGCCCATGGTTGGCCAAATCCATTTTTTTACACTCTGAAAAGCAAATGACATCCATGTAAAACTCAAGAGCAGATGCACAGATGCAACAGTAGCTGCCTCTTAACAGATATATTCCTCCAATACCCGTATGTCATGCTTTAGCAATACCTCTTAATCCCACGCTACTGTATAAATGATATCTTGCACTTTGGCAAGGATGTCTGTGTCCTGATGGGCAACACGATTCACAAAGGTGCAAGTGATGTGCCAAGGCTTAAAGGAGAGCCAGGACTAAAGAGCTCTGAAAAGGCATGGGGGAGGACTTGGATACAGAAATATAAATAGCTAAAGGAGAGGAAGAAATATTGATAAGCAGTAAAAACACCTATTTGTAATGGGAAGAACAAAGTATTTTGGCTGCCGCTCGTCTGTTCAAACAGGAAAAATAAATGTCCCTTCCGGTATCAGTCACCCTCACCTAAGCGGGTGGGAGAGACAGGAGCAAAACGCAAGACAAGACAAGCTAGATACTTTTAACCTGCATTTTCAGTGTCTCTGTGTATCCTTTAGGTAAAAGTTGTGCATCCATCCAGCTGAGTCCAAACCCAACACTAAATAATTAAGCATTTCTGACGGTTACTCCCTCTCCTGGGAAATACCAGATACATCCCTGAGCCTTCCCAGGCTGAAACAACAAATTCATCCTAGGTATTGGCAAGTCCTCTGGACTATCAGAATAGGAGGGGCCAACCTTTTCACCCGACAACTATTTATTTCTTTATTGAGATCAGCTACAACAGCGTTTCATAAAGAGCCTACGTGCTGGAGCGCCTCATGCTCGCCTACCAAACCAGGAAGCCCGAGGGCTGAGAGGTGGTACTGTTCTGTCCATCGCCGGAAGGACGACTAACGGTGAAAGGTGGCACCACCTCAGCCCCCCTAAACCAGGGCTTCCGCAGCCCCCCACCCTCCCTGCACCAGCTGCTGGAGCCTCCCTTCAGAGAACCACCCAAGGGCTGTGCACTTTTTCTCAAGGGTTCGAGGGCAGCCTTGGAAGCAAGAATTGATAACTTGGGGAAAAAAATAGCCAGGGAAACACATTAGGACAGTTGCATGTGGTTGGACGGATGCAGACAGGGCTAGTAAGATCAACAAGTGGAAACAAACTTAACCACAACAAATAGAGCTTTGAGAAGAAAAAGTGAAAGTATGAAGTAGCGTAGGTCTGTGAAACAGCATGAGAAGTCCACAAAATTCCTGGGCACGTTATGGCCAGAACAGTGCAGATGCTCTGTGAATGGAAAAGAGAAAGTGAAACCAGAAGCGGATCAAAGGCAGTAGATTTATAAAATGTCTTGGGTTTTTTCCCTCCAAATTTAACAGGAAGTTATCAAAGCTTTAGGTAAGGTACAAACAGCTTGTTTCTTCTACACAGCAAGAGCGTGGCTTTTTGGGAAAGAAAATAAAAGTGTATTCCACATATGCCAGCATGTTTAGTCATTGGAGAAACAAGTATTTCTACTTGCTGGACAGTGACGATTGCCCTCGTACTTAAACCAATGGCCAGGTTGATCAAATGCATTCCTTTGCATTCACATGAAATCAAACTCGTTTGAGTCAGGGGTGTAAAGGCAAAGACAGACAGACAATTTAAGATAGAGTTGATTATTTTCTTACAGTTAATAAGGGAAAAACCAACAGGTTTCAACTCGCTTCAGGTCCATCCTCTCCTCCCTAAATTACTGTTTGGACCGTTATGTTTGTACAAACAATATGCTGAAATCCTCTCCCTCTCTCCGAAAGAGGAAATGCTCGCTGTCGGCAGTGACAAAAATCACGTTCGTCGTTATTTCATCCTGCAAGATGCTCCATGCAGGTAGACGTTGTGATGTTACAGAAAACACACTAAGTGTTGGGGTTCTTTTCGGTAGCTTTAATTTAGATTATTCTGTGTGCTGCATTTTTTAATTCGTCAGTGCTGAGTCTGGTTTGTACTTGGACAGCAAAACTTGTCAGGCAGAGCAAACCACCGATGTGAGGGAACTTCAAGTCAGAATGGCATTTTTTCTAGTTATTATCATCCTAAGTTTGTTCAGTTTATAGTTTGACCCTCATCCAAACAGCGGTCATTGGGGCAGCTGAAGCTTCATCAGAGACCTGCATTCATCTTTTCACAAAATGATACGGCGCTCGTACATGTGCACAACAGGACATTTTTCTGTACGTTTGGAAGATACTTAACAGCGGTCACTGGGGCAGCTGAAGCTGTTACCCTTCATCAGAGACCTGCATTCATCTTTTCACAAAATGATACAGCGCTCGTGCATGTGCACAACAGGACATTTTTCTGTACGTTTGGAAGATACTTAAACGCTTTGAACTGAAAGCACTAGAAGAATTACACCCTAAGGAAACTACACGGCAGAGGAAAAGAGTAAGGAAAGAACTTTGCCTCTCTTTTCTGTATAGAAGAGTACATTATAGGTATGCGTATGTTCAGGAGTGTTACCCTTAGCCACATAAAATGATGATTAACACCAGCAAAGCCATATTTTAGCACTGACTGATTCAACAGCTGTGCAAAATGTTTCTTGCACCCCGAGACCCTGCAGGGGCAGTCCTCCCGTTGTACGGTTGACAGCCTGGCCCGGCTCAGCTTTATCACAGCTTTCGAAACTACCTAGCTTGCTCGACGGTGGGTGAAAAACCACACGAGGCCGAGTCCCTTCTGAAAGCGTACATTTATTTCAGAGATCGCGACGGGAAAAGCGGCGGGCACGAGTCGAGGATGAGACTGAGAAAGCGCCGGTAACGGCGCCAGGGAAGAGGAGAAGCAGGCCGAGGCGAACAACGCCGGGAGCGGCGAGGACGGAGCGGAGAGTGGCGACCGGAGCCGCTCGGGCGGGAGGCC